ATGCAATAAATCATTACAGAAAGTATCTTATAAAAAGGCTCTTGTTTTCCTTGTTTGGATAAGGAGATGTAAGAGATCCCCTCCCATTTAGATAGGAAAGTGAAAGGTTTGTGTTTTTTTGTGTATGTCCTTTAACTTAGCACCAGGCATAGTTATAGGAAACTCACTAAATCCGCTTTCAGAGACCCCAGTCTCTTTCCCATTCCATGTTGTCATTTCCACCCCAGCCCTTTTGGGGCCACCATGCTCTGGCATTTTCTCTTCTATTTCCCATGGAAAACAGCCCTAAGGAAGGACTATCTTGTTGCTCAAACTAGAGTTCTTTTGTTCCTGTCTCAGAGTATCTATATTAGGCCTCAAAGCTTTCCAGGGAGAGAAAATCTTGGTCCAGACATCTGCTGAGGTGAATGGAAAGATATTTTTTTAGGCATCAGCAGAAATCTAAGTGTAGAGAAATCTGAGGCTGAAGAAATTCTCCAGGTTCTTTGCATCTTTCTCCAGCCAGGCAATTAATAATCTTGAACCACTGGCTGACTAGGATCCTTTTTCTGGAAATCAGCAAAAGCAAGGCGTGGGTCAAAAGGTTTCCCCGGTTCATTTTCATCCTGACTCTATGCTATCTAGTACCCAGGCACCCACTACAAGGGTGACATGCAAATCTAACCAGTCCATATTAAAAATTTTTTAAAGAAGAAGCAGCAGCAAGCTGGGCACTGGTAGCTCATGCCTGAGATCCCAGCTAGTAGGAAACTGAGATCTGAAGATAACAGCTCTAAGCCAGCCATGGCTGAAAAGTCTATGAAACTCTTATCTCCAATCAACCAACAAGCTCGAAAGTGGAAGGATGTGTGGTTCAAGTGGTAGATGGCTAGCCTTGAGCAAAAAAGCCAAGTGAGAGTTCAAAGTGAAGAGGGGGGAAAAGGAAGAGAGGAGGAGGAGGAAGAGGAGGAGGAGGAGGAGAGGGAAAAAGAGGAGGAGGGGAAGAGATGGAGAGGAGGTGGAAGAGGGGGAGGGGAAGGGGAGGGGGAGGAGAAAGAGGTACAGGAGGGAAAGATGGGAAGAGGGAGGGAGATACACAGCAACAAAACCAAGGAGCTGTCCATGGTACTGAACTACAACTGAACAGGAGAGTCTCCTTGCTTCTTGGGAGACTTGGTTCAACATAGTCTCAGACTTAACAGTCTGTGAATGAAAAGAAAGTTCTGAGAAGGTGGAATGAGAGGAGAGTAAAGAGTGAATGGGGATCTAGGGAAAGGGAGAGGGAGATAAAAGGAAAATATAGATGCTCAGATTTAAGTACCAAGAAACTGCTAAAGTCAAAACAGAAACTTTAGCCAGGTGCTGGTAGCTCATGCCTATAATTCTAGCTACTCAGGCTGATATATGAGGATTGCACTGCAAAGCCAGCCAGGGCAGCAAAGTCTGTGAGACTCCTATCTCCAATAAACCACCAGAAAACTGGAAGTGGTGCTGTGGCTCTGATGGTAGAGCACTTGCCTTGAGCTGAAGAGCTGAAGGACAACTCCCAGGCCCAGAGTTCAAGCCCCACAATGGACAAAAAGAAAAAAAAACAGAAAATTTATTTTTCTATTATTCTATTCTATTCTATTCATTTGTTTTGCTAGTACTGAGGGCTTGACCTAAGGGTCTCAAATGGCTTAGCTGGCCATTTAAACCTCACAGTAATCTCATGAGACGTGAGTCAAAAGTTCTGAAATCTAAATTTCAGAATGGATCCTGAATAAGACCTGGGAATCTGAATTTATGCTCTCAGGAAATTCTAGTGTTCAGCAAGTAATGCATTCAAGGCCACATGGTTAGGATTAACTACAATATAAAACTAACTCTCTCAGGGAAAGAACTTTGCCAAAAGCATTCCTGCCTGTGGGACAGCTAATATCTAAAAATGAAGAAAGAGCTGAAGGCCACCAACTAAATCCTTGAGACCAAGGGGAGTGGTGAGTGTTGCCAAATGCCGCAGAGAGATTGGGGAGGATGTGGCATGATGGAGAACTGGGGACTGACAGAGCAACAAGTCTGTGGCTCTGAGTGCACCACTAGAGGAAGAGGAAGACACCATCCTGGCATGGCCAGGGCACTCTTTCAGGAAATGTGGCCAGCTGGAAGGAGTTATAGATTGTGGTTCAGCCAAGATCACTCCTTTGTAAGATGATAGCTCTGTGCTGAAATTATTAAAACCAAACATCTGGATTTGGGGGCAGGATATCAAGGAAAAGAAGGGGAGGAGATCCAGGAAGAAAGCTCAGATAAGCTGTGAGATAATGCAAACTGCAGCCCACTCTCCACATTTCCCAGGACCATTGACATTTTGTTGTATTTTGTTTTGTTGTTGCTTCACTTTTTCTGCTCTATGTAGACTCTGGTCATTAGGGTGCTTGCTTCTATTGGAATATGGAAAGGTTAAAGAATGTCTTGGAGGGCTGGGCACGTGGCTTAGTGGTAGAGTGCTTGCCTAGCACGCATGAAGCCCTGGGTTTGATTCCTCAGTATCACATAAACAGAAAAAGCCAGAAGTGGTACTGCAGCTCAAGTGGTAGAATACTAGCCTTGAGCAAAAGAAGTTCAAGGATAGTGTCCAGGCCCTGAGTTCAAGGTCTAGGACTGGCAAAAAAAAAACACTCTGATGATTTTTAGTAGTCCTGTGTAACAGGGTCGGAACTACATGGGAACTATAACCCAGAAAGTAGAGCTTCTGATCATCTATGTTGTTTCCACTTTGAAATACTCAGGTGGGTACCACAATCAAGGTTGACTGTGTTCTGTTCCTCAAGGGGCAGCCTGTGAAGCCCTGGCATGCACACTGCAGTGAACAGTATCCTGTACTCCTCTCACAAAACCTAATTCATATCCTCTTTCTGGTGGGTATGAAGCAACATCCTTTCACTTGAAAGACAATGATAGTGACAATAAGTTCTTATCCAAGATTGTAGGCTCCATGTTCATCAACCTAATCTTTCATAACCCTGGGGAAGTAGGTGTCATTAACCCCACATACTTACTAAGTGACAGAAGGCACAATTGAACCCCATCACCTCTTGACTCTGAGTCCAGTGTTCTTCCAATTACAAGTAACTTGCTAACTCTTTGAAGCCCACATTAGCCTATTATGGCTGAATAGAAATAAGCAAGTCTCATTGGGTAAGAAGAATTCTGTAGTGATGAAAGAACCTATGTTGGTCTTTGCTGCTAGTGACCTTTGGCAGGGTGTTTCTCTGCTTTGAAGAGAGGCCAGAAGGAAAAAACAAAACAAAACAAAAAAACCTATGCACAAGTGCTGGCACAATGACTGGCAGGTACTCTTCCATCCTTCGCCAGCCTGGGTCTTTCTAAGCCCAAAGACATCCTAATTGAGCCTAATATAGGTTTTTGGTGCACTATGAGAAAACAAGGTTGTGTCAAGGCCTGACCATCTTCCACAACCAGCCCAAAACCAAGAGATATACTCCAAAGTCCTTTCCTTTGGAGGCTTCTCTAGGCAATTCCCTACCCCATAAAGTGAAATTAAGCTTATCCTAGAAATACAAGATCTTCCAAGAGTAAACAAAGGACTTCAGACTGTGAAGTACAACTGAAAGGGAATTCCTACTGCCTCTCCAAAGCCTGCTCCCACCCTGAGTGATACAATAAGCTTGAAGATAAGCATCCATCACCTAGCACACATCTATCTTTTCACTGTGCAGCAAGGTCAGCTCAGTCAGCAGTGCTCTTCCCCACTTCTGAAATTTTGACTAAACTTAAGAAGTGGCTTAGCAGAGCCAAGAGAACCAGAAGACTGACTAGAACCCCAAATACCTACAGGGCCAGACAGGTAATGAATTCACACTTGTCAAAGAGGGGCACAGTGGACATGAAAAAGTCAGCATAAAGCCAGGCACCAGGGGCTCACATCTGTAATCCTAGCTATTCAGGAGCTGGGATCTGAGGATCGCGGTTGAGATTTTCTCCGATTAACCAGCAAAAAGCTGGAAATGGAGCTGTAGCTCAAGTGGTAGAGTGCAAGCCTTGCGCAAAAAAGTCAGGGACAACGCCCAGACTCTGAATTCAAGCCCCGCGTGCGCGTACACACACACACCACCACCACCACCATTCTGAAATGTTTTGAAATATAGAGCTTTGAATAATAGCAGCAACAACAATAAAATACAGCGTTTTAAAAACAAATCTCTGTACCCCCGCCCCTTTCTCCAGCCTTCCATCCTGTGCCTTGTTAATGAACTCCAATAATTCCGAGTGCTTTCTGTTATTTGCAGAGCTGGGCCCCTTTCTCCCACCTTTTTGTTTTTTTACCACTCCCTCCCCCACTACATCCTAGGGCTCACGTACTTTGCGGCCCCGCAGGCTTTCTGCACACCCTCCCATCCTCGGAGCTGCAGAACCGGAGGGAAGCTTTCTTTCAGCCGCAGAGCCCCACTTTCAACCCCATAGACCCACTTTCAACTCCGCCCTGGCGCCCTGGAGACGCCTGAGGGAGGCGACAGGGCCTCGCTCTGAGGACCCCCTACTCTTCCTGGAAAACCCAGACCTCCTTCTCGGTAACTCTGGAATGGAGATGGGCGTAGAAGACGCCTTACAGAAAGCCTGCTCTCCCCGCTGAGACTCGAGACACAGAGTCTTGGGGTTTCTGGCTCGTAAACTCAGATGTCCAGGCGTTCCCCCTCTCCTCTGGTCACTTTCCATCACGATCGGGTCTTGGGGAGTTGCGCTGCGCACGGCGAGAGGCTCTTAACGCACACCGCGCTGCCCCTGCGCCCCGAGCGCAAGGCTGCGGTAGTCACCGAGCTTCCCCGCCCCCGCTCCTGGGCGCCCCTCTTCCCTCTCCGCGACGGACCTAGAGCAGAAGCTCCGCCCCCAACGCACCGCCCCGGCCCCGCGCTTTAAAACCCGGTGCGCACCGCCCCACCGCGCCCAGTCTGCCGCACCTCTCGCATCCTGGGTAGACTCAGCCGCAGCCGGACACACGGCCCCAATCCCCCCGCACCATGAGCTTCGGTTCCGAGCACTACCTGTGCTCCTCCTCCTCCTACCGCAAGGTGTTCGGGGATGGCTCTCGCCTGTCTGCGCGCCTCTCCGGGGCCGGTGGCCCGGGCAGCTTCCGTTCACAGTCGCTGTCCCGTTGCAACGTGGCCTCCTCAGGCGCCTGCTCCGGGGCCTCGTCGCTCGGTCTAGGTCTGGCCTACCGCCGGCTCCCGGCGTCCGAGGGGCTGGACCTGAGCCAGGCGGCGGCGCGCACCAACGAGTACAAGATCATCCGCACGAATGAGAAGGAGCAGCTGCAGGGCCTCAATGACCGCTTCGCTGTGTTCATCGAGAAGGTGCACCAGCTGGAGACGCAGAACCGTGCGCTGGAGGCCGAGCTGTCCGCGCTGCGCCAGCGCCACGCCGAGCCCTCGC